TTTAAGTTGACAATTGGTTCACTGTGGTTTTACAATTATGTTGAGGTTTTTTTTTTTAAATAAGGTGTAGTGCATTGTTGCATCCTAATGTGGGCTGCTATTGCCATGTTTGTGTCCCTCATGTACGTTTCTTTAACATTCGGGGACGAATGTTCCCAAGGGGGAGATATTGAAACGACCCCAAAAATGCCCGAAAATGTGCTCCGAAAACACCTATAATTGTAATTTCCATATATCTCAAAATCCGTGCATGATTTCAGAAATTCGACTTCATATTCTTATTCAGGGGGTCAAATTGAGTTGGAAATGAGTCTAACCCGAATTTTAGAACAACCGTATCAAAATTTAAAAATCGCAAAAAAATGTGATTTTGAGGGTCAACTTGAAAGGGGCATATCTCTCAGAACACAAGGAACTGGAAGGATCTCAAACTATCAAAATTAAAGCTCTGTGAGTTAGCTTTCCAACGCAATTTGTTTCACCTCATTCCGAGTTAGGATGAAGGAGTTATGACCATTTTCGTAAAACCTACCGGAGCAGAATGGCAATTTCCAGTAAGCTAAGTTACTGTAGCAGCCGAAAACGTTTTTCTTTTATAAAAAGAGGATTGTCCCATACTTAGATATATTTTCTTTCTAGCTTCAAAACACTCAAAAAACACTCTCTAAGCCCTCTTCAAAATTTCACCAAGATCTTCAACCAAATTCAAACATCTCAACCTCTAATTCCGGATTCAAGACTCAAATCTCAAGCTTCAATTCTCCATTCCAATCTTCATCAAGAATTCTCCAAAGTTGAGGTATGTGGGTTGATTGTGGAAACCTTCCTTTCCACAAGTCCAACCATTTATCCTCTATTTTACTTCAAGTTTATGGGTCCTTATGATCATTCATGAACTCTTGAATTATGGAATTACTACTACACATCCTATTATGGTCTATTTTTGTATATTATCATGAAATGGAATGATTATATGATGTTTATGGTTTTCATGCCTCAATGATCAAATTATGAAGGTTGTTATATATGTATATATATATGTATGTTGTTGGTGGGCTAATTTATATGTATTTCGGAATTGGTTGGACTTAGTACTCTTGAAACACATGATTTTATTTACATGAACAAGTAGCCCACCATATGTTTGATAAAATGCCATTTATAGAATTCTTATGAAATGGAAGGTCCAATGTACGTCCTATGAGTCGGATGATTATATAAGTATTGAAATGATGATGAAATGGATACATGTATATGATTTTCTCTATATACGTGTTGTGAGTCGACCAAGCCTAGTACGAGGGGGTAGTAGGCCCGTATAACCGTATCGAGGGGTTGGTACCTTGGTTGCCTAGTACGGGGGGTAGTAGGCCCGTATAACCGTATCGAGGGGTTGGTACCTTGGTTGCCTAGTACGGGGGGTAGTAGGCCCGTATAACCGTATCGAGGGGTTGGTACCTTGGTTGCCTAGTACGGGGGGTAGTAGGCCCGTATAACCGTATCGAGGGGTTGGTACCTTGGTTGCCTAGTACGGGGGGTAGTAGGCCCGTATAACCGTATCGAGGGGTTGGTACCTTGGTTGCCTAGTACGGGGGGTAGTAGGCCCGTATAACCGTATCGAGGGGTTGGTACCTTGGTTGCCTAGTACGGGGGGTAGTAGGCCCGTATAACCGTATCGAGGGGTTGGTACCTTGGTTGCCTAGTACGGGGGGTAGTAGGCCCGTATAACCGTATCGAGGGGTTGGTACCTTGGTTGCCTAGTACGGGGGGTAGTAGGCCCGTATAACCGTATCGAGGGGTTGGTACCTTGGTTGCCTAGTACGGGGGGTAGTAGGCCCGTATAACCGTATCGAGGGGTTGGTACCTTGGTTGCCTAGTACGGGGGGTAGTAGGCCCGTATAACCGTATCGAGGGGTTGGTACCTTGGTTGCCTAGTACAAACTGGACATGGCTAAAGCGTATGATAGGGTCTCTTGGTCGTATATATGCTTGGTGTTGAGAAAAATGGGATTTCATGAGATCTTTATCGATACGGTTTGGAGGATCATGGCTAACAATTGGTATTCTATTATTGTCAATGGCAAAAGACATGGTTTCTTTCACTCCACCAGAGGATTAAAGCAAGGCGATCCTCTATCTCCTGCCCTATTTATTTTAGGTGCAGAGGTACTTTCAAGATCCCTGAACAGACTTCATAGCAACCTTGACTATCATGGTTTCATTATGGAACCTAGAGGTCCTCAAGTTAATCATTTAAGTTTCGCTGATGACATCATTCTCTTCACTTCGGGAAGACAAAAAACTCTGAAACTCATTATGCAAACCCTGAATTCATATGAAGAGACCTCAGGCCAACTTGTTAATACAGATAAAAGTCATTTTATGGTCCATCCTAATGCTTTCAACAGCACCAGAGATAGGATCAAAAGAATCACTGGCTTCAGACAAAAGGAGGGCCTTATCACTTACCTTGGTTGCCCTTTATTTGTTGGTACACCTAGGATTATTTATTTTTCTGATCTTATTAACAAAGTGTTATGCAGAATCACAGGTTGGCACACAAAATTGTTAAGCTATGGTGGTAGAGAAATTCTTGTCAAGCATGTGTTGCAATCTCTACCTATCCACCTTCTATCAGCAATAACCCCCCTAGTACTGTCCTCAAACAGATCCAGAGCATCATGGCAAATTTCTTTTAGGGATGGAGGAATGAGAGGAAAAAATACCATTGGGCGTCGTGGAAAAACATAAGCTTTCCCTATGATGAGGGG